TGACTAGCCATGGGACAGGCTCTAACAACACCGTTGTCCATCCTGGTGAGCCATTTTAAGGATGTCAGGGCAAGGGCACACAACCTGTCCCTGGAGGTCAAGAAGGGAAAGTTTGTTACCCTTTGTGAGGCCGAGTGGCCCACGTTTAGAGTGGGGTGGCCCAGGGAGGGCTCGTTTGATGCCTCCTTGATTGGAAAGGTAAAAGGGGTGGTGTTTGGCCACCACGGCCACCCTGATCAGATTCCCTATATTGTGGTCTGGCAAGACTTGGTTCTAGACCCGCCACCCTCGCTGAAGGCCCTCCTACCCACCCCGAGGGGAAAGGCGGGAGTTCTGGCAGTTAAAGAGGTCAGAAAGGAGAGGGCACGCAGTCCGCGGTCTGTTGGGACGCCAGTGTTGCCGGACTCCAATCTCCGAGAATCTGAGAGACCTAATTAATCTTTTAGACTCTGTTCTTTTTTACTCATCAGCCCACCTGAGATGATTGCCAGCAGTTGCTTAAGGTGGCTCTTCACAACGGAGGAAAAAAAAAAGAATTCAGCGGGAGGCACAGAAGCTGGTTCCGGGGGAGAACAGCACACCTACTACAAACCTTTGAACCATCAACTGAACTTTTCCCCTTGAACGGCCGCTTTGGGACTACAATGAGGCTGAAGGTAGGGAGCGTCTCCGGGTCTACCGCCAGACTCTGATGGCCGGTCTCCGTATGGCGGCGCAAAAGCTGACCAATTTGGCCAAGGTAGGAGATGTTCGTCAGGGGGCAGAGAGCCCGGCAGCATACTTAGAGTGGCCTTCCGGCAGTACACCCCCATAGATCCCACAATGGAGGAGAATAAGCCGCTGTTATGATGGCGTTTGCCAATCAGGCGGCCCCCGACATTAGGCGCAAGGTGCAGAGAATGGATAGATTAGGTGAGAAGACTCTGCAGGACCTGTTAGAAGTGGCGGAGAAGGTCTATAACAATAGAGACACCAGAAGAGAGGTTAGAGAAGATCAGGATAGAAGATAAAAAAATTCCAACCTGGGGAAGCACGGAAAGCAAATAGAGAGATGGCTAAAATCCTGCTAGCCACCACAAGAGGGGGGCAGATAGGGTCAGATGATAGGGAAAGGCCCCGGCGGGAAAGGCTAGGAAAGATCAATGTGCCAATTGCAAGGAGCATGGGCATTGGGCCCGAGAGTGCCCCAAAAAGAAAGGGGGGCGAAGACTTGGAGGTCCTGAAAAAGCCATGGTTGCAGGACAGGTGACAGACGAATAGAAAAGACGGGGTTCAGTCCCCCTCCCCGAACCTAGGGTAACTTTGCAAGTAGAGGGGAACCCAGTCAGCTTCCTCATAGATACAGGAGCAGAACATTCAGTACTAACAGAAGACATAGGAAAATTGTCCAGTAAGACCAGTTGGGTGCAGGGGGCAACAGGAGCCAAACTATATCGGTGGACCACACGGCAGAGATTAGATTTGGGTTCAGGACAAGTGAGTCACGCCTTTATGGTCATCCCTGAGTGCTCCACACCGCTACTGGGAAGAGACATTCTTACCAAGCTTAAGGCTCAAATTCATTTTGAAGAAGAGGGAATAATAATAACTGATAATAAAGGCAATCTCATCAACAGCCCCCGGGTCACTCAGATCCTGACCCTGACACAGGCAGATGAATATAAACTGTACTAGCCCACAAAAAAAAAAGCAGAGAGAAAGGCATGGAGCAATGGCTCTGTAAGGGCACAGGATGGGCAAAGCACCGGCCGCCTCTTTACGTTGAGTTAAAACCCGGAGCCAAGCCAGCCCGAGTCAGACAGTACCCCATGTCCCAGGAAGGCAGAGTGGGAATTACGCCCCACATTCAGAGACTCCTGGACAGTGGGATTCTCCAGAAATGCCAGTCGGCCTGGAACACCCCCCTGTTGCTGGTGAAGAAAACGGGGGGGCGGGAGGGGGCAAGACCTCAAGGAAGTCAATGCAAGGGGCCCGGGATATCCACCCCACATCCCTAACCCCTATACTCTGTTGAGCTCTCTCTCTCCCACGCTGTCTTGGTATACCGTCCTAGACCTAAAGCATGCCTTCTTTAGCCTGGCGGTGGCGACACGCAGCCAGGAGATTTTCGCCTTTGAGTGGCAGGACGACAGAGAGGAATTCCTGGGCAGCTGACATAGAGGAGACTGCCCCAGGGGTTTAAAAACTCGCCTACCCTGTTCAAGGAGGCCCTCCATGATGACCTTGGGTTTGCGGAAAAGGCTCCACCTCTGTATGAAGGGTGTAAGGCGGGGCGAGCAAGGGAGTGGCCTGTGCAAATGGAAGACGCTTTTCAGGCCCTGAGGGCAGCCATGCTGGAAGCCCTGGCCCTAGCACTCCCTGATCCTACAAAAGAGTTTCACCTGTTCATAGATGAGAAGAGGGGAATAGCCAAGGGGGTACTCACGCAGGCCCTGGGACCCTGGAAGAGACCGGTGGCGTACTTGTCAAAAAAACTAGATCCGGTGGTGGCGGGGTGGCCAGCGTGCTTGTGAATCATCGCAGCCACGGCCCTGTTGGTCAAAGACGCTGATAAGCTCACCCTAGGGCAGCGGCTGCAGATCACCAACCCGCACGCCATAGAGGGGGTTCTGAAGCAGCCACCAGGACGGTGGATCACAAATGCGAGGCTGACTCATTACCAAGGACTTTTGCTGGATGCACCCTGCATCGAGTTCCAGACCCCTGCCGCCCTGAATCTGGCTACGCTTCTGCCAACCCCCGATGCAGCCGCACCTGAATGTGATTGCCTCGAGGTCCTAGCCGAGACCCAGACAACCCGTAGAGACTTGAAGGATCGCCCCTTCCAGGTAGAGACCTGACCTGGTTCACGGACGGAAGCAGTTTCATCCGGGACGGACGCAGGACGCCACCTGTTAGAACACCCGCATCAGACCACACATCTAGGGAAGAGAAAGATGCTGTAACTGCTAGACACTGCTCAACTAAGGTTCAAGTCACAAGGACGGGTTCCAGATGACATCGTCAAAAGTTGCCGAGCCTGTCAGGTCATGCAGCCGGAGAGGACCAGAGGGACCCATGCAGGTACAAGGGAAAGGGGGAGGCAGCCAGGACTATTTTGGGAAGTGGATTTCACAGAGGTCAAGCCTAAAAAATACGGGTACCAATATTTCCTGGTCATGGTAGATAAGTTTTCCAGATGGGTAAAAGCCTTCCCTACGAAAGGAGAAACAGCTTTGACAGTAGCTAAGAAAATATTAGAAGAAATAGTCCCCAGGTATGGACTGCCGGAAGGGATAGGATCAGATAATGAACCTGCGTTTATCTGTCAGGTTAGTCAAGGGCTGGCCCAGGCTATGGGGATAGATTAAAATTACATTGTGCATATAACCCCCAGAGTTCTGGGTAGGTAGAGCAAATGAATAGAACAATAAAGGACACCCTGACTAAATTGGTCCTGGAGACTGGGTGACCCTCCTTCCCTTCGCCCTGTTCCGAGCCCGGAACACCCCTTATCACTTGGGTTTAACCCCTTTTGAAATCATGTACGGCACACCCCCTCCTGTAGTTCCTAGAATGAACCCTGAGGCTCTTCCAGGTCATCCCAAAGAAGTGTTACAAGCGGTGCAGGCTCTGCAACATGTCCACAGTCAAGTATGGCCGGCCCTCCGTGCTATCTACCGGCCTGAGGAGGAGGGTGCCGGACACTCGTTTCACCCACACCACCCGGGGGACTGGGTGTGGGTGAAACGGCATAACAGCAGAACCCTCGAGCCGAGGTGGAAGGGCCCCTATCAAATTATTCTTGTTACCCCCACTGCTCTTAAGGTCGATAGAATAGTAGCGACCTGGATACACCACTCCCACGTGAGACCTGCTAATAGAAAAGACCCTTTCAAGTTGTTCTTGTTACCCCCACTGCTCTTAAGGTTGACGGGGTAGCAACCTGGACCCACCACTCCCACGTGAGACCGGCTGGTGAGGACGAGCAGAAGCGACGGCAGGACGAGTGGAGGCGACAGAAGACCTCACACATCCACTAAGGACCAGGCTGACCCGTGTGGCGTCTGCGGAGTAAACGAGACTATTGACTCAGATGCTGGTAGAACTGCCGATTGCCCTGCTAGGACTCGGACTAGGACTAGTTACCCCAAAGATTTGGACTAAGCTGCAAAAATGGGGTTTAATAATGTTCTATGTTTCATATGCAAGTGCATTATAGATATCCTGCTCTTAGACCAAAAGTTTTGCAGTTATAATTAATAATGAAAACCCACATCTGCCATATAAACTTACATAGAAAATAACTTAGAAACCTATGAGGTATATAATAGCACCTCAAAGGCAGAGCCACTAAACACCTGGTGGCCAAATTTATATTTCAACGTAGAAAAAGTCAGTCTCCTAGGAAAGCCGGCACAGACAGTACGATATCCTCGAGAGGCCCTGCTATCTACCTTGTTGGGACCTATAACAGTGCTCGTGCTCATCCTCACCTTTGGGCCATGTATTCTGAACAGGTTAGTCACTTTCATAAAAGAACAAATAAATACTGTGCAGTTATTGGTACTGCAGCAGCAGTACCAAAGAGTGAGTCTTAAAGAAAACAGTTTAAGAATAGAAAAAATATAAGACCCTGGATACGAGCATTGCTCATAAGAACCAAGAGAAAGGGGGGAATGTAAGATCCTGGGCTATAAGGACAATAGACACCTTCCAGCTTCTGTTTACTGCTTGTTTGCTAACCGCAAGGCATTATGAGTATATTATGGGATGCAGAGGAAAAAGGCAAAGAGAGCAGAAACCGGAGTCTCTCGGCTAGGACCCGGAACAGGTTAGGGCCTATCAGGGGCAGGCTGAAGTGAAAATCACTGTAGGGGTGGATGCATGACCAGTGTGTAAACAACTAAGTTATAAAAGGGGACTAACACACAAAGGAGGGTCCTTGCCTGCGAGAGTGGCCACTGCGTTGGTGCTCTGGGGCTTGGACCCTGGCTAGCCAGAAAATAAACCTCCTCTTGTGTGATTGCATCTTCAATGTCTCTGCTTTTCTGTCCGGTGGGGCTGTGGAAGGTCGGTCCCTAACACTTCCACACCTGCCTGCACAGGAAAATACTGTCTTCTTTGACCTGCTGCATCTTTAAACAGAAAGGAAAAGCTGCTAATTTGATGGGCCAAAAACTATATCTTACTGTTATTTGGTAGGTATGATTTATATGTTTTCTTGCTACTTCTTGAATTTGAGTGGACTTAGGAAATGGATATCACATGTGGAGAATTCAGTGTAACCCAGAAAAGATTTAAGTAGATTTCAAAGCCTGCAGGGAACTGTGTTAGTAGCCATTGTCCGTGGCTGCCCTGTGCTCACTTGTGCAGCACCATAACCAAGTATGGGTGCCACGGGGAAGGGGAGGAACCTGCCTGGCCCCACAGCTGTCCCTTGCTCTCCCTCTGGTCTCTCTGCCTCAGAACAGTGTAGTGCTGTAGCTATCACACACAGATACTGTAAGATGGCCTGATATTGTTATGACCTTGAATTTTTAAAGCACTTTTCACTCCATTTTGCCTTTCTGGTATTCCAGTGAAATAGCTGCATTCTATTAACATGCATAGGGGCCCTGGGGCCTGGAAAAGTTACGTTATTCATCTATTTTCTCACCATAAGTGAGAGATGGAGCCAGTATTAATGTCTGCATCCTAAATTTCCATTTACCCCTGAATTTTCATTTTGGATATCAGTATTTTTTTAACTGCAAAGTCTTCAGAGAAACATACACTTAAAATTTTACAGGGTTTTTTTTGTTCCCCCACCCCTACTCCTCACCCTCACATGAGACAGAGCATATCAAGCTCATTTTGCAGATGAGGAGACTGAGAGTCAGAGAGGTGAGATGACTTTTCCATAGCCACACAGCTGGGAAGTAGAGGCCCCAGGAACAGAAGCCAAGGCTGCTTTCTGGTGCACCAGAGGTGTTCTAGTGTTTGGAGGAAGCTTGGGGGCTACCTTGTGGGCATAGGCGAGGCAAAGTAGCAGGAGTTCCAGTCTCCCCCACCCTGCCCTTGGTTCAGTCAGGAGCTAGACAAGCTGCAATTTGCATGTTCCGTGTACTTGTAGTTGCACATAGAACTTTTGAGGAAAGAGTCTGTTGCTCCAGGCACAGTATGGTGCTATAGCTCTCTCTCATGAATGTCCCTACACATAGTCCATGCAGGAAATAGAAGAGTTCATGTCGGGAGCTCAGAGTAGGGCAGCCCAGTCTGCTGCACGGTGAGCCCCACTCTGCTCAGGTGGCCGCATCTCTACTCCCAGCCAGCGGTGCTGTCCTAGCAGGTGCTGCTGTACACGGCCACCCAGCAGGTGGCGGCTTTCCTGCTGCAGGGCCAGGTGGTGATCATTGACGAGGAGCACAGGTGTTCATCGACAAGGCACCTACCTGACCGACATCATCGTGGGCATCCACAGTGCAGAGGTCAGCTGCTCCCAGGTGGGCCGGCCTCCCCTCCTAGGCCTGGGCCTGCCAGAGGCAAAGGGACATGAATCATTCCTCCAAACACCTAGGCCTGGAATCCTCCGGAGATGGGCTTGGGAGGGGTGTACTGAGTCAAGGCAGTGACTGTCAGAGGCTGACTGGGGCTTTCCAGCAGATCTCAGAACTCCAGGTCCAGCTGAATGGCTCATCTTCTTGCCCTTTGCCTGCCCTTGTCATCCTGAGTCCCCTAGCCCAGGACACTGCTAGCCAGCCCTCTATAACCTGGTGTGATAGCCTGAGAGAAGCAGGAGACTCCCTGGGGTTGGACATTATTATTATTATTATTACATCACTTTGAGGGGATTTAACTGAGGAATGCTCAGGAGCTCTGCAAGTCACTGTTAATGACCTATGATATGCCCTGTACTACACTAGGTGTCTACTTGTCAGTGACTCTCCTTTGGGGGTGATGTTCCTGTTTTACCTTTGTACTCAGAGATTCGGAGATGGTGAAGCATGTGCCTGAGGTCACGCAGCTCACAAGTGTGGAGCCAGGATGTCACCACTGGCTTCCGACTGTGAAACCCCCAGGACATCCCACCATTGCTGCAGACCAGGGCCTAGCTTGGCCTTGGGCCAGGATGTGATGTGACCTTGAACCATTGCTGCTGGTAGACCCCAGGTCTTTCCCAATCCGGTACAAACCAGCAGGGAGACTCCTCCCTAGGGAGGCAGCCCCTGCTTTCCCTGACCTGAAGCCAACGCCTGAGCAGACTGGCCTTCCTTTCCCTCTCTCAGCTCCTGCCACCCTAAGGGCCTTTACAGCCCTACCCTTTGTCTGCAGCCTGCCCCTCCTCACCTGGCGCCCCTGTGTCTAAGACTTCTCCTGTAGTCTAAGACTCGCGGGCAGCCCTAGGCCCTTGCCCAGAGGCTGGTCTGCCTCTACGCCCACCCACTCCCTGGGCTCTCTCCCCAGCTCCACAGGGCCCAGTCCCGAGTGCTCCAGTATATGGGACAATACAGGGGAGACGCTACCTTCTGCCCTCTGAGGCAGAGGGGCGAATCCCGCACAGCTTCAGAGGCCCCCAAGTCAGCCCCTAGAGGAAGCACGGGGTGACCGCCTTGGCCCACGCCCACAGTGGGGGGTCAGCATGCTGTCCATGCCCAGGGTCTGCCATGGTGTTCCCCACCCAGGCCTGGGATGCAGGGGACAGAGCTTGGGCTCTGAGGGCCTGAGGCCATAGCTCATCCCATGGAGGAGAGGGCAGACGCAAGGCCTCCGTGTGGGGCAGGCCAGGGCGCAGTGTTGTTGGAGTGTGGCTGCTGCTTGTCCGCCCAAGGCTTTCCCCTCAGGAAGCGTCTGGAGGCTGAGCACCTGATGCCCATCAGACAGATCCTGTATTTGCGGGAGAAGTTTGTGGCCACACTGAGCACCCTCCTTATGCTAACCCAGCCTGCAAACTGCTGGCCTTCTTTTTCTTTGGATGTCAGGATGAGCACCTAGATTTTCTACGTCTTTAAGAATTGTCCTGGCCTTTCTTTTTATTTAGAGATGAGGTCTTTCTCTGTCACCCAGGTTGGATTGCAGTGGTATCATTGTAGCTCACTGCAGCCTCAAACTCCTGGGCTCCAGTAATCCTGCCTCAGCCTCCCAAAGGGCTGGGATTACAGGCATGCACCACCGTGCTCAGCCTGTCTGGGCCATTGATTTCTTTAGAAAATTCTCATTCTTTATGGCTTAGTTGATTGTCTGGCCTGAGATCTTTTTGTAGAACCCCCATTTATTTGCCCATGTTCTGAGTCCTTTTGATCTTGCCAGGCCCTATGTGCAGGTGGAAGTAATGGTACATCCCAACACAAACATGTAGCATTCTGTAATAGCTGTCATGCTTGGGAGTTCTCCCAGCACTTGCACATACGCGGTTTTGCAGTTCCTGTAAGGACAGCCACCCAGGCGTTTTAATCCTGGTGTGTAGACGAGTAAACTGCAGCTCAGAGCAGCGAGGCTGGACTCTGGCTCCAGATCCCAGGCTGCTGTGTCCCATGGCCATCCCTCAGTAGGCTCCTGCAGAAGTGAAGGGCACAAAACCCATGGGGGTCCCCTGGAGGGGTCTGGTTTCACGCTGGCATCTTTCACCTCCACCTCTCCCTTGCCCCTGGCTTACCATGTGGCTGGGGCAGCTCCTGTTTGCTCCTTGCGTAAAATGGCCTGGTCCCTTTGTCCCTGCCTTCTGGTGAAGGTGTCAAAAGAATGAACTCACAGGCCTTGGTTCCATCTGCAGGCATGTGGGTCAGACTCGAGGGGCTCCTGGAAGCTCCTGCCCTCTCTGTGGGCCCCGTGTGTGCTACAAATGGCGAAAGGCGGAACAGGAGCTGTTCACCTGTGTGCACTCTTCTGGTGGGTACAGGGCAGAGGGCAAGAAGATGGGGACATGGAGTCAAAGACCTCCATCCTGACCTGTTGGGATTGTCTGTCTTGGGGAACACTGAGCAAAGTCCCAACCACACAGCCTCCCACAGGCAGGTGACAGGGTCGGCCTCAGAGGCCCCAGAGCTGACCTGAGCCGCCTGAGCTTCACGCTGGGACTCAAGCCTAGGACTCGAGGGTGGGGCTCCCTAGGCCATGCTTGTCTCCCCTCAGGGATGGAGCTGAAGACCATCGAGGGCTTCCTCTTTCAGAGCCACATCGACCTGTTCAAGGTAGAGGTGTTCTTTGTATGTCACCCATCAAATTTCCTTGTTCTTATCACTACCTGTGCCACAGTACTAGGTTAGACTTGGGAAGAAGTAGAGAGCAAATTCCTTCTGTCCTCAAGCAGTCTAAGATCTGAGGATCGAAAGCACAGACATATGTAATTACTTAACCCTTGAAGAAACATCCTAGCTAGAAAAAAGTAATCTTCAGTCTAGGGCAGAGGGGTTGCAGGGATGGGTGTCAAGGTGCCTTTCTTTGTGCCTTAAGACACAGAGAGGCACTTTGGACCCTCACCACCTTACTCTTTCTTCTGGCGCAGTTGTGCCACTGCAGTTTTGGACAGAAGCAGGAGGCTGACTTGTGGGCTGCCCCAGGCGGGAACATGGCTGTGCTGTTCTCGTCTTCCCACTGGGCCTGGGGTCTGACTGCAGCCTCAGAGCTTCACTCACCCCAGGCCTGCATGCCCAGTGCCATCCTAGGTGGGGCACAACCACTGCCACTTGATCCCAACGTGGGCACAGTGGCCGCTTCCATGCATGGGGTGCTGCGTTCTAGGCGCCATGCCATGTTCTGTGCCTCTGAGCTAGGATGTCCTGTTGCTGCTGGTGAGCAAGGGAAACTGAGGCTCAGAGAGGTCACCTCAGGAACGTGATGTGCACAGTCCTCCCACTCGAGGGCCTACGCATGTGGCAGAGCTGGCATCTGAGCCCAGCGAATTTCTCTCCATCCCACCTGCCTCCTTTTCTGGAAACCAGCATTCCCTTGACTTACTCTTTTTGATCACTGCCATTTTGATCACTGTCAGAGAGGCTGGAATTGTCACTGCCATTATCCCTGTCAGACAGGCTGGAAATCCAAGTGTGTTTGATGCTTTCTCCCTTCGTGTCCCACAGTGCCAGGCCGACCGCCTCATACAGCTCTGAGCTCCCCCATCCCGCAGATGCGACTGGAGGTCAGGTACGTCTCCCTCTCGCGTCCTTCCACTCCCCCTGCTGCCCTCTGTCCCCTCCCCCTCCAGTGCCTCATGGGCTGCTGTCTGCTGGGTCTCCACTGCGGGATGGACTCCAGACCCCTCACCTCTGCCTTCCAGCCAAGACCTGGCGCGCACCGTGCACACCAGCGCACACCAGCGCACCGCCCTCCCCTCCCCTCCAGGCCTCCAGGCTCACCTCCTTCAGCCCTTTGCCCACAGGAGTTCTGAGTTTCAGGTCAATTCTTCCAGGCACAGCTTAGATGCTGCCACCTGGAAGGAAAGCAGAGGGGACATGACTTCCTGAGCCCCTTAGAGAGCCGCAGGCATGCGCTGGTGAGGACTGGTCTGGAGCTGGGCAGGCCTCCCCTCCTGGGAAAGCACGTGCTGAGGGGCAGCAGAGGAGGGGTGGCCTCCAAAAGGGGATTTTTGCCTTGGTGGGTCAAAAGGAGGCTCTGGGCGCCTCAGAGGAGCAGTGTGTTGTGCTCCCTGGGGCGGAGGAAAGTGGCGGTCTTTGTATATCGAATGCACACGACAGCTTGCTCCGAGTGCGTGCCTGTGGTTGGCTAGGAGTGGCAGAGAGGGACCTGCTCCCTGCCCTGGGCCTGCCTCAGAGAGCTCCGGAGGCCCTGGGCCCCCATGCTCCTTGGTGCAGAGTGGCCTTACTGGGGTGGAGGGAGGGGGCAGAGATGGCAGAACCATCCCCCGCCGCTGCTCAAGCCTCTCCACCATGCTCTCCATCCCCACTCAGTGCTTGGGCTTCACAGAGGAAGAGGAGTGTCCCCTAATCCTCTGTCCTCCCAAGTGACCGAGGCTGAGTCAGGAGGGTGGCAGAGCCAAGCTGGCAACAGGCCTGGGCAGAGCGTCCGCTCCTCACGTGTGGGCTGGACTTCGGTGAGGCCTCCTCCCCCACTCTGCATCCCTTGTAGACACGGGTCAGGCCAGGCCCGCTCCCCGCTTATGCACGCTGACGCCTTCCTCATAGCTCTCACCACGGCCAACCAGGGCGGCAAGGTCATCCTGAGCCGCCAAGGTCCTTGGGTGCTTCCTGGTCAGGCTCTGTTCCCAAGCAAGCGTCAGCCTGAAGCCCAGGAGCCAATGCACAAAAGGGGTCTGTCCATCCGTCCTAGCCCCTTCTTGGGTTAGGAGGAAACAGGGTGGGGTCGGGGGGACACAGAGATGCTGGCAGGGCAGGGCCTCTTGGGCAAGGCTACTGGAGACGGCCCGTGGCCTGGTGGTGAAGGTCAGGTGGGCTTTGGTTTGAGCCATGGTTCCATCACCATGGAGCTGTGTGACTTGGGCCAGTGTCTTTCTCTTTCTAAACCTCAGTGTCCTCGTGGAAAAGGGAGATGGTAAGGGTTGGTCGTCCTGGAGATGAATGGGATGTCATTTGCTGGCTCTTGTGCCTCATACACGGACCCTCCCCCGAGACCCCCTGCGCCCTCCCTGGAAGCCTGCCTGGGCCTGCACCTGCCCCTCCCCATGCGTCGCTGCCCTCTTTTCTGGCTGCCTCGCTCAGAGCTGCCTCCAGTTCTTGCTCCCAAATGCAGCTGTGCACTTTGCCCAGGTTGTGAGGGAGTGTCGGGCATCACTCATTGTGGGGGCATGCTGCAGTCAGTAAGGACAGCAGCCCTCTTGTGTCCCTGGTGTTGGGATGGGACAGGGACTGGGAAGGGTGAGTCATCAGGCCTCTTGCCTGTCGCCATACCCAAACCAGAAAGGGGCCAGCTCAGGCAGGCCCAGCAGTGTCCACTAGGTGGCACTGCTGCATGGTCTCACTGCCTGGCTGTTAGGCTGGAGCGAGAGTTGGGCAGTGGGCACCTGCTCTGGACCTCTGCAGCCACCGGGTTCGGCTCCTCCAGAGCAAGCCTTTCTGTAGTTCACACTCTCGTTTATGTGCCTCATGCCACTCCCTCTGTCACCCACCACAGAACTATCAACCTCTCATAAATTTGTCTTAATAAGTATTCTTTATGAAAGTATTATACTTTCACTGTAGAAGGCAGAGACAAGCAAAAACAGGAAAAAATCATAATAACACCAACGAAAGGTTCATTTTGGTGTCTATCATTGTAACTGTCTTTCTATGCATAATTTTTACATATGTGCATACGTATTTTAAAGACAAAACAAAAATGATCTTATCTCTACATGTTGTTGTTATAATATGCTTTTTTTCACTCAGCAGCAAAGTGTCATAAGCATTTTTCCTTGTCAGCAAGTATGCATTTGTTCTCCTATACTCTGGCTGCACTGTATGCTAGTTATATGGATTTGTTTATTTATGTATTCATTCATTAAATAGAGACAGGGTCTTGCTCTGTCACTCAGGCTAGCGTGCTATGGCATCATCACAGCTCGCTATAATCTCAAACTCCTGGGCTCAAGTAATTCTCCCTTCTTAGCCTCCCAAGTAGCTGGGACTACAGGTGTATCCCACCACACCCAGCTAATTTTTTAAATTTTTTGTAGAGGTGGGGTCTTTCTATGTTGCTCAGGCTGGTCTCAAACTCCTGGCCTCAAGCAATCCTTCCGCCTCAGCCTCCCAAAGTGCTGACATTACAGGCATGAGCCACCACACTGAGCCAGATATATTATATTTTATATATCCACTCCTCTTTTGTTAGGTATTTAAGCAATCTCCAGTTTTTCTCTGTTTTAAACAATACTGTGATAAATATAACTAAGACTACACACAGTGAGGATTTCATCTTAAAAAGGACTTACTGGATGGAAGGCTGTCCAGAATCCAAAAGCCGTGGTTCCCAGCCCCTGTAGCTGCCTGTAGCTTTTTTAGTTTTTACATTTTTTTGTGTGTAGATTCATAGATTTTAATTCATTCAACGTATTATTTATAGTCATTATTGTTTTTAAGGCTCACATTGTCTCAAACTTGGCATGTGGGGCCCTTCCTGCTACGTCGGGCCTTTCCACACAGCCCGCCAGCCCCGCTTCCCAGCACAGGGGGTCCCAGGCTCGGTTGTGTCTTCCACGCCCTGGAACTGGACTCGTTCATTTCTCTGGGGTATCTTGGTTTCCTTTAATGGGGAATGATATTTAGAAACAAGATCTGGGTGTCAAGGTGTTTGTAGTGCTCCTAGATTATCACTGTTTATAGGACATTTCAGTAGACAGACCTAGGAAATATGTTTTCAGAAGTCATACATCCATATGATATTTCCAAGTAAAATCAAATAAATAATTTATTTGACCTTATATTGTATCTCTTTCTTTTAAGCTGAACATTTGGTTTCCTATTATATTAACACCGTTACTTATCTGCTTTATCCTACAATATATATCTATAAAATAGTCTCAAAATTATAATACCAGTATTACTTCCAACAATAAATCTGATTGCAGTTGCATTTCTTTGCATTTATGTTTTGCCTTTAGAGTGTATCCCACTAAAGACGTATTGTCACTGGGCTATAAAGTCGCTTGAGAGCAGGCTTTTCGCTGTGTGCTTAGGTTGCTACTTTGGTAGAGAGCAGACGTTTTTGTTTCATTTTGCTTTCAATGTTAGAATTTGCTTTTTACTTTTTTGACTTAATTATATTTCTAAACACCTGTATGGTACAAAAGTCAAAACTATATAAAAAGATATATTCAGGAGAGTCTCACTTGCATCCCTCTCTAACCTCTGAGTAGACTCCTTAAACATGTGATTCTTGGGTAAAAAAGTATATTTAATTTGTTAAATATTGACAGATTCCCCTTGATAAGAACTATACTATTCTGTAGCCCACCAGCAATGTCTAAGCATACCTGTTTCTCCACAGAGTGATTCAACTGTTGGGTTTTTGCCAGTTCGATGTGAAGCCCTAGAGATTCTTATTCAGTAGTTTGGGCTGGAGCCTGGCCGTGTGTGTTTTGATTTATTTATTTATTTTATTTTATTTTATTTTTTTAGACCAAGTCTCACTCTGTCCCCCAGGCAGAAGTGCAGCGGCATCATCACAGCTCACAGCAGCCTCCAACTCCTGGGCTCAAGCCATCCTCCTGCCTCAGCCTCCCTAGTAACTGGGGCTATAGGTGCACACCACTGCATCCACCTAATTTGTTTACTTTTTTGTAGAGACACGGTCTCACTATATTGGCCAGGCTGGTCTCAAACTCCTGTCCTCAAGCGATCCTCCCACCTCAGCCTCCCAAAGTGCTGGGATTACAGGCATGAGCCACTGTGCCCGGCCATGTGTATTTTTAAATTCCCACTAGTGATTTTGATGCATGGCCAGTGTTGAGAATCAAATTGTTTAACTTAATTTCCTTTGCTGTCCTACAAGCAGTTTAAGTGAGACTGCCAACACTGGATGTCATCAGCAATTCCTTCTCTTTTTGCCAATTTGCTACCAGCCTTTTCTTTTACCTTTTTTCTGTTCATGTGCACTTGTTGCCTCTTTGCCCAGACTTCTCTCTTCCCTACCCCTCTCAGGCCTGAGTTCCTTTCCTCCATCCTCTGGGTGGTCACAAATCCTCGATGTTGTGGTCTGCAGCTGTCTGACTTCCAGGAGCAGCTGCTGGCCCGTGCCAGGGTGGAAGCTGAGTGCGGGGTGCATTTCCCTGTGAGGACGAGCTGTGTCCTGGGAGGGCCCCGGCACCCGTGTGTGTGTGTGACACACAGTCATCAGAGGAGACCCTGTGCCAGCTCCCTCAGAAGCTCAGCCCCTGTGCTCATGGTGCTCACGCTCAGCCCGCCGTCTGTGCTGCCAGTCTGACTGTGGTAGGGGGGCGGGTGGGGGGGGGTTGTGAATTGCTCCTCCTAGTCTAGAAGACGGGGACAGTGCCCTTGCTGGACTCTGTCTTGTAGAACATTTGTTTCCAGCCCCTCCCTGGGTCTCACTGCATCATGTGATCCCTGTCATCTGCAGCAGGGTCTCTGACCAGCCACCAGCCGCAGGAATTCTTGCACTGAGGAGACAGCTGCCCTCCCCCACCAGCCTGCCCACCAGGCCTCAACTGGGGAGGGGAATTTTCAGGTGGAACTGCTCAGGGGGAGCAGTATCTGTCTGAATCCTCTCACTCCTGTTGAACAAGGTTTCTGAAACCCTCCCAGCATCCCTTTAGGGCCAAGTGCACAGAAAGCTGTGCGTTTCCTGTGGTCCTCTTGCCCATGGGTTAGGTCTGGGGACATCTCGAGGGGCATGCCTGTGGTGCTCAGCCCCTGATCTGCCACAGCAGGTGCCCACAAGGCACTGGGAATGGAGGAAGGGGACTCAGTGCCATGGCAACGGGGAGTCATCTCTGGGGCATTAGCATGGGTGGGCAGGGTCGGGGAGGTGCTCCACCCCCAGAAGCAGCAGGTGTGTTCAGTGGGAGGGCGGCACATTCCACTCTGACTCCCACCCGGGGGAGCCACTGGGCAAATCCCCCTTCCTGGCTGTGGTCACACCAGGGGGCTCTGTCCTGGGTTTTGAGCCCCAAGATTAAGAAGCCATTTGTGGGGATCACTCAGGGGCTGCTCCATGGGAGGCTCTTGGTCGTCCTTGCTTGGATGGACGAGGCAAGTCAAACCCTCTGTAGCCTGTGTGGCATGGTTCCCAGAAGGGTGATCTGTTTCTTCCCCTCCTATGAGTACCAGTGCCGGCCATACCCACAGGGAGAGGGGTGGCCTGCTGGAAGAAAGTAAGTGGCCCTTCAGGGCAGCTCCCGCTCGTGAGAACCGTGAGACCCAGAGCTCTTCCTGGGATTTCTCACGCTCAGGGAGTCAGGGTGGTTGGGCCTCTCCTGGGTCCTCAGCCCAGCGCTCGCTGGCCCTGACGACACAGGACTTCCCCAAGGCCTGCAGCTCCGTGAGGCTCTCTAGTCCCCAGCTGGAACACAGGTACGGAAGCAGGCCTGAGACCAGCACTCTGAACCCACCTCTGGGACACATACTCTTCTGCTTCCAGATTTTCCAGGAACCCAAGAGTACAAACCAGGTAGAGCAGGTGCTGACGGACTATTCCAAGTGCAGTGAGGTGAGAGGCCTCACTTTGAGGGTTGGGTCCGGAGACAATGTGGGATTCACAGGAGAAACCATGTCGGGTGACATCCAAGCTATGGCTCAGCAGCTCAGGGCTGGGTCTCTCCCGCAGAGCCATGGCCAGGTGGGGTCCAGGTGACAGGGCCCTGCTCCTCCCCAAAGCTGGAAGTCAACTTTTCTGATAGCCGAGGCCAGTAAGTCACGGTCCTCTCCCATCTCCTGGGGCTGTGGTACCTGGCTACCCACACTCTGGTCCGCTGCGCCCCACCTGCTGTCTGCTGCCATTCGGTCTGCGGCCAGCTCCTCCTCAGGGTCTGTCCACAGTGGGGGCAGCATTTCAGCAACTCTGCATCTAGCTCTTGGAGAGCAGGTGGGCAACTAGCCGACCATCCCTATCAGGACCCAGGTTGTTGGCCTAGACTGGATCTCTCTGCTGAGCAAGCCCTTTCCAGGTGGCAGGAGGCCCAAAGAGTGGTACACGCAGCAGCTGGTGGCATGGGGTGAGAACGCCACATGCCCCTGCTCGAGTCTCTGCCCCACGTACGTGGCCATGGTGGGCATGCTCTGGCCCAGCATAGGTCTCCAGAGCTGCAAGACAAAGTAGATCAGCCTGGATCTACCAGGTGATCTAGGTAATCTACCTGGATCAGCCCCGGTGAGTGCCTCCATTATTCCAGAACACACGAGGGCATCGTGGAGGGGTGTCACCCTAGGCCGGGGTGGCAAGGCCTCCCCACTGGGTCTTCCCTTGACTCATGTTTCCTGTCCACTCAGAGGTCTGGCTGCATCTCCACACCCTCTCAATCTCCCCTGTGATGTTCTGTGGCATCTGCTGCTGGCATTGGCCCTTGAAGCCTCTTGATCTGGCCCTAAAGCCTGGCAGGGTCTTTTCCCAGGGATAGTGGGGACACTAGGCAGCAGGCAGGAAGGAGCCCTCCACAGGCCATCTCCTTTGCCCTCCCCAGCCCAGAAGCCCAGGGGAGGCCCCTGGGAGAAGGGTCTGAGTGGAGGCCCTGCCCAGTCCACAGGTAAGCCAAGTCGCTGCTCGCTCTCCAGGTAGATGGCTGCAGAATGAAGTGGCAGGAAAGAGGGGCTCATCTGCCCCATTCCCCATCTGAGGGCTGAGGAAAGGGAGGGGACCCCGTGGGGACATACAATGCAAGAGGCAGGTCTGCTGAGAAGCTCCAGCCTATACTTCTCCAGGCAGGGCCATCAGGCCCCCGAGGGCTTTTGCCAGCATAGCACTCCCGTCTAGGCCGCCAGCCTGGACCTGAGATCGAATGGCGGTAAATCTCCCTCTGGCGCTGCCCTGGCTGTTATGCAGAGGGTCAGTCCTGCCTCTTCCTTCCCCTAGGGCCCCTCACCAGCCTGGTTTCCCACTGCCTTCTCCTCCTCCAGGTTCATCAGAAGAGCCCGTCTCTTCCTGATGCACAGTCTAGCTGCTGGTGCCAGGCCCTTCCTCTGCACTGCCCGCTGGGCCTGGCCTGCAGGGACCCTGACCAGGGAGGGGAAGTCAGGGGGTGAGTGTGGAGTGCAGGACACTGCCAGGACCCAGGTACAGGCAGGGGAGCCTGGGGGAGACGACCAGGCTAATCCTGAAAAAACAGGGGTCCCTGCCATCCTCAGGCCCTTCCCAAGGCAGCCCCTCCCTGGAACTGGGTCTTTCTTCCCACCCAGCATGGCTGGGGGTAGGTTTCCTGCCCGGCCTCCGCAGGCCTACTCAGCACCTCCACCCTGCCCCCCTGCGTAGGCCCATCTGCTTCTGCCCTTTCTAGCTAAAACAAGCTGTTCTCGACCTTTCACCTTCTCTTCTAAATTTAAAATGTTTCCCATTTCCAGCCCCTGCGGGCCCTAGGGCTCCTCCAGCCCAGGGCCTTCTGAGTGCCCCCAGCCGCCTCACCCCTGCCGCAGCCTGGCCCCGAGCCTGCTCCACCACCCTCCCCACATGTCACCTTCCCTCTCAGCTACTGGAGCAAACTCCAAGACACCTCTCGCCTGACATCAGCAATTATGCCAAGAGCCATCAGGCTCTCAGTAGGACTATTTTTAGAGACCCCGTGTCTGTCACTGAGATATTTTTTCCTGTGGGAAAATATCCCTCCCTCCCATCTGCAAGAGTTGCTCCTGCTGGCTGCACCTCGCTTCTCTCTGACCCAGAGTAAGGGGCCGTGGTGCCCGGATGTTCTGCCCACTGCTGGGAGCTCTGGGGCAGGAGGACCGCCGCTGGCTCTAAGGGGACGAGTGCTCCCTGCACAGCTTCCGTCCCTCCACTAAAAGCGCAAGCTGGTTTCTGCACAGTTCGTGGCTGTGCTCCTCTCCCACCCGCGTTGCTCTCATCTCTTGATCTCTTCCCTTCTCTTCAGAGAAGGGAAAACCACTCTGGGGAGGGGATGGGCGCCCCAGCAGCATGTGGTCTCGAGCCAGCGTGCTGTCCTTGAGGAAGGTCCCAGCACCTCCGTGTGAGGGCAGCAGCAGGGCCTGGTCTGGGGAAGACGTGTGGCAGGGGCCCCTGGGTCATCCTCGTCCTGTCCTGCAGCTGTGGTGGCAGGCAGAGGTGGGACGGACATGGACACTGGGGCGAAGGTGCTTCCTGCCCCCACCCAGGTCCTTTCCCAGAGATCCCTGGGAGGGAAGAGGCTGAGGTGAGGGAGGTTGGAGGGGCACCAGTTCGCCCCACTCATGGAGACAACAACAGGAAGGAAAAGGCAGGAGAATATGCAAGATGCAAAATAGCCTAAGGCCCAGGGAAGGCAGCTTGTTCAAGATCCCAGATCAGGTCCCCAGCTTGGCCTGTGGCTCTCACTGCAGCCCAGAAGCCACAGGTAGGGCTCAGTGCACATGCGTCCCCACCCAAGACACTCCCTAGCACTCCACAGCCACCGAGTTCACCACAAGCTCTTGGAGCTTCAGTCTGTCCTGGACCCAGCACTGGACACTAACAAGACAATGGCGACTTTTGGGGACCACTCTCACAGCCACCACACAAGACAGGCAGTGTGGGCAGCACCACCAAAGCAGGACTTTGGGCGGCCAGGGTCCAGGCACTGTATGATGCCAGTGTTGGGGCTTCACAGCAGAGGCTGGGGCCTCTGTCTCTCAAAATATCTCAGGACCGTGACCATTTCCTTGGACAACAGCAGGGGTCTAAGCAAATTTTCTTTGTCACCGCTGCTGCTGGCTGAGCTTGGAGAGGAAAGCTCCACTAAGCAGGTCCCAAACCGGGAAGGAGCCTGAAGCCCAGGCAGGGCTCCTAAGAGGCAGCAGGAGGAGGCTGGCTGGGGTGCAAGCCCCAACGAGGAGTGGGCAGAGAGCACCCTGACTGACCCTGATGGTGTGGAGGTGAGGTGGTGCTTTGCGTGGAGCCTCCTACTGCGGGGGCCCGGGGCCCTCACCCTGCTCTCACTCCTCTGTCCTCCTCCAGCTGCGCTCCTGGGCACCGCCCCCAGCTTGGCAGATACACTCCGGCCACTGGAGGGCTCGCCCACCTCCTCAGGAGCTCCCCGGACTGGGCTGGGAAGGGAGGAAGGGCTGCTCAGGTGGGGCTGGGCTGTGGGATGGCCTTGGGGTGACACTTGCAAGTGTCCAGGGGCTTTACCTCAAGAGCCTGGCTGGGAGGAGGTGCCCAGGTGAAAGAGGAAGCAGCAGTGCAGCAGGGCCTCCAGAGACCACACGGGGCCTGGACTTCTGCCACCCGAGTTCAGGAGCCTTGTGTGCAGATGCTGCCTGTCCCTCCCCACCTCGTGGCCAGGTGCCACCCTGCCCCACCCTGCAGAGGGGCCTGTGAGTTACTTACATGCTGACAGTGTCTCAGCTGGACAGTGAGCCCACAAAGGGTTTCTGTGCCGTTGCTGGATGCTGGAGAGAGACCGGAAGATATGACATTGACACTGAAATTTTGTCATTTCAGGGACACTGAATATTTTGTTGCTGTAGTTTTCCATTGTTTCAGTAGATCTTTTCTTCCATTGGTTTAACTGGGGACAGAGGACCCAGAGCCCCACTGGTCCAGCGGCCACCAACCTGGATGGCAGAACTGCAGAGCTCTACAGACAGTTCGAAAACCACTATTTTACAAACCCAGCAAAACAAGATATTTGAAATGAGAACTATTCTGAAAATCTAGGGTTTATGACCATTTAACAAACCTGCAGAAGATCCTTCAGGAATCCAGAAATTTGACAGGTGGAGGTACCCTCAAAGAAAGCCCCCAGCCCACCCTGTTCCCTCCTGCAGGAGACACTGGTGCCTTGGCCTGCAGGGACCGTGGTCTGGGGTGGGAGTGGGGTGCTGACCAGCACCGCAGGAGCTCGGAGAGGCAGTGGTGGGGTGATGGAGGTAGAGGCAGTGGGGATACAGTTAGCACCCCATCCTCTAAGTCTGAAGTGGGAGTGTGAGAAAGAGATGCAGGGAAGAAGGCGGCAGAGCAGGGAGCTCCCTAGCTCAGCTCCATCCAAGCGCCCAAGCGCCCAACCCCCCTGGCTTGAAAGGCTTGGCTACCTCTGCGTGGAAGATGGCAATGCTGGAATGGGGTCTGGGGCAGAGGGGTGAGGCCCAGGCCCTGGTTGGTGCTGGGCGTGAGGCCATCAGAGATGCTGGGCAAGTGGGGCTGTATGTCGATCTGATGCACCTGGCCCAGGTCTGGCAGGTAGAAGTGGTTCTCTGGGACCTGCAGGGTTAGGTGGAGGAGTGTGAACGGTGACAGGGACCTACAGGGTTAGGTGGAGGAGTGTGAATGGTGACAGGGACCTACGGGGTTAGGTGGAGGAGTGTGAACGGTGACAGGGACCTACGGGGTTAGGTGGAGGAGTGTGAACGGTGACAGGGACCTACAGGGTTAGGTGGAGGAGTGTGAACGGTGACAGGGACCTACAGCATTAGGTGGAGGACTGTGAACGGTGACAGGGACCTGCAGCGTTAGGTGGAGGAGTGTGAACAGTGACAGGGACCTGCAGGGCAGCCAGCAGGGCCTCACGCTCACCCCTTGGAGCTGGATGGAGCCCTGGCTGGGAGAAGAGCCCTGTCAGGCCCCCTACTCGCAGCCACCCTCCCCACCTGCTGCTCCAGCTGCTTGCTGAGGGACAAGGACACGGAGCAGGTTCCGCTCCACACCTGTCTCCCACTTCCCTGTGGGCACAGTGTGTGCTGGGATTCCTAGGCTTCCTGCACCAAACCCACAGCCAGCCTCCGGCTCCCCACCCCGTGCTCCTGCTCCTAAAGTCTGCCGCCCGGGCCACACTTAAGCCCCCCTCAGGCCCTGCAGTGCTGTCTGGACACAGGCTTTCAGTGGTGCTGAGGAGCAGCAAGGAGCTGAGGAAGCTGCCATTGCTGGGAAGACCACAAAGCCCTTCCCCCACAGCATCCTCAGGCTCTGGGGAAGCACTGTGACTTCCCTGGGGGGGGGATTAGAGACGACAGGGGTGGGGACATCAGTGCCGGCCAAATCGACCCCATCCCCTCCCAGTCAGTATTGTCTTGGGAGCCAGAGCCCCGGGGTGGGCCCCGAGCCCCTCTGAGCAGCCAGCCCCAGTGTGCAGTGGGTGTGGCAATAGGACCTGCAGGGCCCACCCATCCTGGCAGGGTGCTGGCTCTGATCCTGTGGTCCTGGGCACCAGTGAAGATGTAGCCATGTTCCTGCAGGTGCCCTGGAGCCAGGCACTGGGTGCTGGAGAATACCTGTGGACACAGGGGCAGCCTGAGAGGACCAAGAGGCTCCAGGCAGCCGAGGGGTGGCTGGCAGGGCTGGCACCCTGGGCAGGAGGAAAGCCCAAGGTCTGGCCAAACAGCAGGAGCAGGGATGTGGGCAACCTCAGACACGGGAGATGGAGGCCCTGCCCACTGGCCACGGACACAGGGCCATGTGGGCTGCCTTGATGGCTTCTTGCTGCCTTTGATCTCCTCAATTTTGGCCTGGGCCAAGGAGACCCTCCCCCCCCGATGGCCTGCACCTGACTCTGCCTCAGCTCTGCTTGCTGGGAGATCCCACCACAGAGGAGATCCCAGAGGCTGGGGCTGCTCCCAACCCCTGCAGCCATGGCGCACCTCTCCTTCTGACAGCAGACCTGCCAAGACAGGGCCTTGGCCAAGGGCTCATAAATCTATGCCACCTGCTTGTCAGGGCCGTTCAGTGCTGACCTCTACAGGGAAGATCTGAGCTGGAGGGTCTGGAGTTGACCGTACTGAGTCCTTGGACCTCTCTGAGGGGATGGGCCACTACTCTGGCCCCAAGCTGGCACCTGTGCCTGCCATCCGCCATGCAGCACAGACAGAATCACAGTTGCTCACTTGTGCGCACACAGCTGTGAACACGCACCCTCACTACCATGTGAAGGGGGCAAGCCTGGCTTCTGCAGAGGAAGCAGCTGGAGTTCAGTGAGGCCAAGCCTGCCAGAACCGGACCTAGATGCTGTCACCTGAGTTCAGACCAGCCCTGTGGACAAGGACGTGCCCTGCACATCATGAATGGCGCACAGGCTCTCCATGGTCTGGCTGCGCACCTGTCCCTGCTCTCCCCGGATCAGGGTGGCTCCGCAACACCAGCCACCTGCTATTTCCTGCCCATGCCCAACACTCTCGTCTCAGGGGCTCTGCATCTGACGGAACGCCATGGCACAGACATCCACACGGCTAGCTCCTGCATGTCACCGAGTCCCCTTCCCGTGGAGGCCCTTCTGACCTGAAATCTGGAGATGCACCTATCACTTCCCAACTCCTACGCCTGCTGTTATTTTCTCCACAGTGCCGCTGGACACAACACATCTCTTGCCTATGTGCTCCAGTCCAGGGGCCAGGGCTGGGTTTTGTTCCCTGCTGCATTCCCAGAGCCTGGCACGGTGCCCAACACGTGGTGGGGGCTCACTGGAGACTGTGGAATGACTGAGGCCCGGGGGCCTTACGCTAAAAAGTACACAGCCCCATTTGTGCTTGTCCACATTGTTCAGCCACCACAAGTGAACTCTGATTCACAGGCGCCACATTGTCCTCCTCCCAATCGCTCTGTAGCTCCCCTACCCCTGAGAACCTGAGTCCTTGCCCACAACAGCCACGCTCCACACCCAGGGAGGTCATCCCCTAGCACTCGCCTGCAAAACGAGCACACGAGAAGCACGAGGAAGGAAAGGCAGATGCACAAGTGCAGTTCGCCAAGAAGGAGGAGGTTAAGGCAGGGTGGCCGGGGCACCGCTGACTCCAGGGTGAGAGACTCTGGGACCAGGGACCACTGGAATCTCCCTAAGAGTTGAAATACAGTCAGGAATCTGGCCTGACCTGCCCAAGCCACTCCCACCAACTCTGGACGGTCTTGACCCCCAGAAAACCCACCTGACCAGCCAATTTCACAATCCAGGGGTCTCCATGCCCTGATTTCTCCTGGCCCCTCATGTGTGGGGCGCAGCAAGGTGGCAGTTGGAGTACAAGCAGCCCCCACGGCAGCTTGGTTTTCCTTGCAGCCACGCAGGCAGGGAAGGAGGGCACCGCTTCCTTCCCTCAAGAGGAAGCAGAGCGCAGCCCCGTCTCCCCCACGAGAAGAGAAGGCTCATCTGCTGCAAGGGGTCCTTGAGCTCGAGTTGCTTCAGTGCACTCCGGTTCCCAGCAGCCACATTCTGCCCCTGGGCACTGAAGCGACCTTCCCAGGCCGTGAAGGCACTCTACTCAAGGTCCACAGGGAAGTGGGGGTGCTGGGACTGGAGTCAGACAGAGGCTGCTCTGTTCTGGAGCTGACGTCATGCAGAGAAGGGCCAATTGTTCCAAGTGGCAAACATTAAGCTCAACAATGAGCCCTGGCAAATTTCTGGAATGTATCATTAAATAGAAGGTCTGTAAGCACATAGAGAAGGAGGAGGTGAGCCCCAGGTGCCAGCACTGTGCTCAATTCATAACATCTCTTTGTTTTTGTTTTGGCAGGGTTATTAGACTGGTGTGTTAGGGGAAAACCTGAAACACACTGAACCTTGAGTCAGCATGATTTCGATGGCTCCTCACACAATCCCATGTAAAGATGGAGCTATGGGGCTGGAGGCGAGTACATATAGGAAAGGCCAGGCCAGACAGACCACAGTCCCCACAGGGCGCTACTAAAGAGGGGCCTGACCCAGCCTCGCGCTGGCAGGGGCGCTGGCAGCGCCCCCAGTTCATTCGGTGCCTGACTAGGAAGCTGGGAATGTCAGACAGAATTCTTAAGGAATGAATGTGACGCTGGCTTGAGATTCAAACAAGCAAGTGCACAGATACAGAAGGCTTGGCAGCAGTTCTGGTGAAGACAGACCTGGAGTTCCAGTTAAGAATAAGCTGAGGAGGGGCTAAAAGCCTGTGAAGCAGCTTGCAAAGGACATGAGCTCTCAGGGCTCACAGCTTCCTGTGCTCCCCACCCCCACCACCAGTAAACCAGACATGCTCTCCTGGAGGGACATGGGAGCCCTGAGCATCAGTCCCTCCAGGCACCAGTCTCCCCACACTGTGTGCCCTTACCTTGAGTCCACATTGCAAGAGGACTCTGAACTCCCTGCAGTCTGCAGAACCTGTCCTGTCACTCTGCGTCTGTATCGCCCAGGACAGTGCCTGACATGCAACAAATACAGTTGAACAAGAAAGTGACAAATGACCAAACACCCAAAGGAGGGTGATGAGGATGGTGATGAATGAGAAATCCACATCATATGAAGACAACTGAAGGATGTTCTGGCTAAAGAGGAGATGACTCTGCAAATATGATAACTCCCTTCAAATATCACAAATATCAGAGAGCTGTCAGGTAGAAAAGCAACTAAGACCCATTCCCTGCCAGCCTCAGGGCTGCAGCAGGACCAGTGGGTGGAGTTACAAGGATTCAGACCTCTGTTCTCATAAGGAAAATGTTCTCAGGAACAGCACATAGCTCGGCAAAGCAATCTGATTCCCGCTGGACACCACCTGTCTGGGATGCTCAAGGCAGGCGTGATTCTGGGGCTCTTTCTGTATCTCAGGCCCTGGGACGGTTTGCTTGTGGACAAAGTCCCCGCCTCTCTTATTGGCACACACCACGATGCCAAGGGAGAGGACAGGCCCAGAAGGAGAAATGGCCTTCAGTGCATTTGCTGTCTCAACGGACTGGTGGTGGCTGTCAGGAGGCTGTGTGAGGAAGGGCTGTAGCCACTGCGGGGCTGGGATGTTGCTGAACAGCATCCGCCATGGGGGCAATTTGCCCAGATGCAGGACAGAAAGCTGGCTTGCTCTGTCCGCTCAGAGCTTGGGCTCCACTGCTGGTCTGCCCCCTGCCTGCCCCAATTTCCAAACATCCCTCTCTTGCTTCCTTTCCTTCCCCTTACTGTTCAACAAATAACTTGAGTGTGTTCAATTTGTAAAGCACAGCATGGGTCTGTGAGGCCAGGGGTGAACCAAACAACACACACCTGCCCTCAAAGTGATTCAGGCCTCCCAGGGAGCTGAGAACTGAACATCAATACC